GAAAGTGGTTGTACGAATTTCTTTTGGATGCAAAGGTCAGGTTTGTGAACATGGATTGCGATGGCTTCCGCAATGTGCAAAAGGCGCACTCGTAAACCATGTGGTAGATTTGATGGAATATTGTAGATAACCTTAAAAGCTTTATTCACTTCGACTTGATGACCTGTGTCAACCAAGTGAGAGAGAATAGAACTTTTAATCACTTTCACCTGTCCTTTGCTTAGCCATGTTGGATGATGTTCTGTAATGCGGTGACGGACCTGTCGAATTGTACGCCCTATGTAACTGGCTCCACAGGAGCAGTTGAAACGATAGATACACATAGATTTGGCGAATTCTGGCAGTCTGTCTTTAATGGATGTTCTTATTTTCGGTTGGTTGTAGAAGATGACATTTAATTTGGCAGCATTAAATGTTTTTTGTACCGCTCTTCTTAGTTTCTGAGTCATGACTTCTTCAATGGAGTCATTTATGAATTGTAGTTTTATGAATAATATCTTCTTGGGGACAGTGGGTATTTTTGTCCTTGTTTTCTTCTCCGTCATATGTTTTTCGATGAATTTCATTGGGTACCCATTCAGACTGAGTAGGTTCCGAATATTGTTCAATTCATCTTCAATAGTGTCTTCAGAACAGATCATTCTAGCACGATGTGTCAAGATCTTTATTAAGTTCCTTTTGTATCTGATTGGAACTGCACTGTGGAAATGAGTGTATTGACCAGGTGCTGACTTTCTGTGTACTCTTCTTTTTATAGTTCTAATATGTTTTTAATTATAGTGGTTTTTCAATCATGTGTTCATTGGGTTTCAAGTTAATCATTTTTAAATTATATACTTTACTTGGTTTAGAGTGACTGAATTAAACAACCCAACTAATAAAAGTAATATATTACCAAAAGTGTAAAAAATTTCATCCCTCAACATTGGCTTTATTAAGGAGATAAACTCAGCACAACTGTATGATCAGTACGAAGTTAATTCTGAATACGTAAGTTGGTTTATTGTTATTCAATTAGTACTGGTTTATAAACCAAGAAGAAATCGATTTCATAGGTAAATTTTATGTAAACTCTTGTGGTTGTATTTCTATAAATTGTTGCTCTTGGTTCTTTTGGAATATATATATATATATATGTTTCCACCTGTTTATTTTTCTGATTTGCACCAAGTCGATTAAAGTGAAATTTTTAAAGTCCTACACAAAAGGAATACCAACAGACTTTAATCTCTAAAATTTTATATTTGTCTAAAAAAATTTTCTGGTAAGCGTTTTTTAGCGAGTTAGTTTTCTACGGGATGGGGACGCTAACCCCATGCCCAAACCTCCTCCTTTACTCGGGTTTGGGACCGGCAGTAACTCTAGAAGAGCTACAGGAGGGGTTGATTAAAATGGATTAAATAATCTTTATCCTATGATGAACTAGTCAAATAGTTTATATACTAAGTGGCTATTTAAACGTAGTCCAAAACTCCAACTTAAAGATTGAAATTTATATGAATTATTCATTGATACGCCACCTCAATTTATTGCATAATTACATTACTTCAAACAACTCTAATTAGTTATTAATAGAAATAATGTTAATCAGTGATTATGAGGCCAACTTTGTTTATTTCATGTAACTGTTATGTATTTCAATTAATTCATAATGAGGTTTCACTATGAATCACTCGATAATAGGCGGCTTCTTCATATTCCAACAAAAAATGGTGAAAGAATGAGCATAAAATCGGCTTCAAACACAAATAGTCTAATCATGTTTTTTTTATATTTTAAATACAGTCAGTATCAAATAGGTTTTGATTATTTGTTAATGAAATCTATTTTCCTCTTAAAAAACAATTAGTCTATAAATTGTTTAAATTGTTTTGATATTTCTTCTTATTCTCATATAAATAATTTCTTTAAATGGACAACTTAATATTACTTACAATAAATAATAATTAATTATCATTTTTTATTGTGTTTTATTCTATAGAATTATAAAGACGAGTAATATTCACTTCATTTTTTTAAAGTTAAAACATTTAATTTCAGTTGTAATTATTGGTTTTACTAGTGAATAAAATTAATGGTTGTTCTGGTTGTCAGAAGGAGCATCAGCCTCGTGACTTTCGAAGGAATTTGGCTTTCAACATGAGGCGTCATCACTCTTTTAAATGAAGACCTTCTAACTCCCAGGACAGATTTTAAATGGTTTTGAATTATTTCTTCTGGTTAGCATCTTTTTTAGTGAGTTAGTTTTCTGTGGGATGGGGTCGCTGACCCTATACCCGATTCTCCTCCTTTATCCGGGCTTGTTAACAGTAATAGCCCCAAGGGGGCTCCAGGCAGAGTGTTCTTTGGTCATTCTCTTCCCCTTTAGCCTTGAGGATTTTATGTGGGGGCTTGCCTTGTGACGCACCATTGGGATCTGTGAGAGAAAATAAATCAGATCCCAGCTGAGGAAGAAATCAGGAAGAAGTGCTGGAAGTAAATAGGACAAATTGAAGAAAGCACCCAACTGCGTCACAATGCAAGCCCTCGTATGAAATCCTCTAGGCAAAAAGGAAAGAAGAAGGTCAAAGAACACATTACGCTGAGAAATGGAGACAGACATGAGAGGAATTAACAACAATTGTATAGAACTGGAAAGGAAGGCCTGGGACAGAGTGGGTTGGAGAATACTGTTCGGCGGTCTATGTTCCGTTAGCGGTAACAGGCGTAAATAAGTAAGTGAGTGAATAAAACGAAAAATACACTTATCTAATTAACTGTTTATAGTTATGCCTACATTATATATTTAGTTAGTTACCTTTACTTGTGAGAATAGTACTTTGTTAAAGTTTCAAATTCAATCTTAATAATAACATTATTAGATTATTCTCTAATTATATATCAATATAACTACCATTATCCAGATAGACAAAAAATAGAATATTGGGCTTTTACATAAACAACTGACAATTTGAAGTGGAATGCTTTTAAGTCACTGAAATATGAAAATTAATGAAAACCGAGAGATACCGAACTGATTGCTATAAATAAAAAAGGATAAATTAGGTCAAGGAATAATATGTGAATAATGTGACAAAAAAGGTTTAATTTGTTTAATCTGATTGGCGTTTTTTCAGAAAGATCTTTTCTACGGATGGGGTCGTCGACGTAATGCTCAACCTACCTTCTTTACCCGGGCTTGGAGCCGGCAGTATCTTTGATAAAGAGCTACAGGCAGTGACTAAAAAGGGGTACTAGACATACGCTAGTTGAAGTTAGACAGTACCATTGTTGGATTTCGGCTCAGTGGTATAGAGGTTAAACGTCCACATGCAAGACCGAAGGTATTGGGTTCGAATCCCGTGTAAAGGATCGTGGATGCGCATTGTTGAGGAGTTCTATGATAAAACGAAGCAGGCATCCAGTGCTTCCAGTTTTTTCAACGGTGTCCTAACATTGATCAATTCATGATCTCAATCGGAATCCCAATTTGTAAATACGCATTTTACTAAAACGTCTTATAGTCCTCAGATTACTTTTAGTATTAAATAAATTTGCAATGAGTTAACACTAATCATGGGTTAACATCACTAGTTTCTCACGGACATAACCACGATATAATAAAATAAATATCTAAATTATCTTTGCTAAACATTACACCTTCGTAGTGTTATTTATGAACTTGCCTAGTCTATAAAAGATATTTGTGATTAAAGTTGAATAATAAAACTCGATATTTATTTCTTATCTTTTCCGAAAATATGTCTATTAAAATAAGCGCTTTTAGAGAGGTGTTTTGGTTTACTTTAATAAGAAACACCGATCTTTGATTCCAACAAAAAAATACAAATTCTGGTTTCCGCTTTAGCTTACATAAATATGCTTTACGTACTTGAATAGAGTAGATAGATTGATAAATATGACAGCAAGAGTATTTATATTAACTCTGGCTGCTTTAAAAGTTAAATTTTGAACCAAGGGTAAACTCTAATTATAAGCAAGTATAATTCTGAATGATGTTTGGGTTTTCTCTTACCTCAGTAATCTCTCCATTATCAAACGGTTTTCGATTGATATCGTTATTCATTTTTAAATACATTTTAGTGCACCATTTTATTTTAACAATGTGGTGTGAAACTATAATATATCATGCTACATGCATTTACCGAGTTTTGAAAACCAATTTCCCACTGGAATCCCGCATATCTATAAAATAGTACTTGTCCATAATCGTAAACATTATGACAACTGTTTTTGGTTTTATTCTGTAAAAACGAAGTTTCAATTCAACAACTATAACAGCTAACCTTTCATTATCAGCAAATTATTTCCACAGTTTGATTTAATTATTGACCAGGAAACATTTTCTCATTAAATGTTTCTAGTAGCGAATATTTGACTGTAATACTTTTCGTAGCAAGAAAAAGTAATGACAGTCACTTATCAAGACAGTTTGTCAACCATAGTGTCGATATACAGAGCCGAAAATTCAAATCTCAGTCTACTATTTTAGTGTGGCGTAATTCGACGGGTAAACTGTTCTTGTCAGTTTTTATAACAAAGTTGCATACCAAGAAGGAACTTTAGCTTCTTGAACTACATGTAGATGGAAATTTGCTTCAAGTTAACTAGGACTGTAGTATCACATAATCACGTGGGCAATGAGTATCATAAGCGAGCTGTTTATTGTTAAACACTTAGATAAAATAATTACATACTCAGTAAACCTTTTTTGGTTTCATATTTGAAGCAAAAAAGCTTCATCGGTGTGGGGATTTATGGAGATTGTTGTATTTTTACAGCTGAATTAACGAGTCGATCGCGGATGCAGAGCCCCATATTTGGAAAAAACGGCCATCCAGTACTTCCAGATTTTCAACATCAATGTGTTCTAGTTTAGACCGACTTGTGAATTCAACAAAGCTTTGGGTTATAATTAATAATTAATTAAGAGTGTTATGCCACTAATTATGAGAGGTATAAGAAAACATAATCACTTTGTTGAATTAACGTTAACTCACCCTTGACTGAAGAAGGTCAAGTAGTTCCGTCCAGAAGTCTGAATTTCCGTAATCTTGCTGTACGGCAATACTCATCCGATTAACCATTAGTATAATTAACTGAAATTCGACAAATAATTTCAAATGAGGTAGTATATTCACGATAAATCATAATTGAGAGATGAAACAATTTATCTGTTTACTTCAAGTACTTAAATATTTTTGCTGCTTACATCACCAAAGGCACTCTAATCTTTGGCGTAGTGTAGAATTGCAAGTAAAGTCGCAAAACGAAACCACTTTCTGTGCAGGAGGTTACAAGGTGACTGATTGTTTTTTCACTTTGTCTTGATCACAGTAAGGGCTCATGAGTTATATTCTCGGCATAGTAGTAATAATGTTACGGACAGAATAAATTTATACCATGAATACACAAAAGCTAATATATCAGATATCCCTCCACGTGTTTAAATTAAAACAAGCCGCACAAACTATTTTCAGCCTTATTACATATTTTATATACATCTAAACATGGTGTCTAAGCAATACTTCCTAATCATAATCGACATGGAATTAAGTGGTCAGATGATAAAACGGGCCATTTTTACAAATGCTCAGGATATTTTTTGATAATGACTTCGAGTTACTAGATAGTTTAAAAGTTGTAATAAACTTTTTGAGTTTATTGATTTCTTAACAACTCGACACAAACATCTGTAAATGTATTTTCACAATGTGCATCTAAGTAATAGTATCGATTATTTTTAATGTTTACTTTTACACAAATTGTTTTTTACTTAAAGGGGAAAACTAGAGTCTAACGAACTTTTAGCGAATACTGGGAAGCGTAATATACCATACTGACTATCAATCTATAATTTCATGTCTTCTTAAAGACTTTTGCTTTCGAAATAAATATATAAAAACTGAGCCAGAGGAGCTTTTTGAGACTATATTTTGATGTACTTTTTGTTTATGTTACACATCGAACACATTTTTAGGTCAAGTACAAAGCAAAAAAAGCAAACAATATTCGGAACGAGAGTCTATCTCATGTGTAGATTTTCGGCTGTGGACACCATTTTTCCCTCAAACTCATGTTTTCCTTGCTCGGCGATCATATCGTTGATTAGTTCATCGTTTTAAACAGGACCCTGAGGACTAAGGCTACGGCATTTAGTACAGCTAACAACAAATTTCAATACAAATACAAAGCCGATCCCAAAGATGAGTCACTATGATAACTAGCACACAGCTATGTAAGTCTTCCCTTGCAATTACATTGAATAGTGAAAAACTACACAGTGGTTCCTGTAATGATCAGACACCAACCAAAACAGAAAAACACTGGATACAAACAACACAAAAGTTAAGAAAAAGATCAGTCGCTGTTTTTGAGTTCTTTAGCCGAATATCCAAATTTCCAAATTTGAGGGAACATTTAATCCATTTTGAAGAAATTTTCGGGAAACCGCTATGGAGAATTTGAGGAATATTTTGGGGAAATGTCACAAAAACCACAAAATTTCCTCAAATCTGGAAAAAGTTTCCAAAATTTCCAGAATTTTCCAGATATTTCACCAAAAAATTGGGAGAGACTGTTGAACTTTAGGGAAAAACCTGAAAATTCCCGAAAATTCCCCCACATTATTCTAAAATAGGGTCACAGAGATTTTAAAAAAACGCCATAGTTCTCAAACAAAAAAAGATCTTTATTTATCGATCTGCATGAACAATGTGACTACTTTTGATGTCGAGGATTCTCATTGTAACCATGTATTTTGTTAACAAACTAAAGAAAAAATGTCTTTCATGGGCAATACACGACGTTCAGCTTATTTTTGAGAAACGTCAAAAAAAGTAAAAAAAATCACTTACGTCTCTTCTAAATACAGTTGCTAGTGTTCCAATAACCAGACAAGCCATGAACAAGCCACAAAGTAGTGTGAAGAACTGAGATAGGATATTACAAAAATCTCTTCTATACCGTAACCAAAATGCAGCGATTTTCAAGTGCAGCCCCTGTGCATCCTAAAATTGATAGTAGCAAAATGACTCCTCCAATGGATATAGTTGAATATGCTGATATTCTTAACAAATGAGGTCCCATAATATCCAAAAATATTTGAGGCCAAAATAAGGCCCAGCTAGCTATCACGATAGACGAAAGCCCAATCAGTATAAATATGACATTCAAACATAACAATACACACTTTACGCACATTAAAGATGACCCCTTCCAACACATTTGATTACGAATTCTAATTACACGACCTTCAAGTTTGTAACATTGCAAAAAAGAGTACAACTTATCTGAAAAAATTAAACGAAATGGCATGTCCGAATCAGTTATCAATCCAGACTGATTTTTCGGATGAAAAACCTAATAATTGTATGTTACATATATCTAGAATGAAGCTATTCAATTTATGGATTTAATTGCCGCTACATTTCACTCCACTCTATGGTAGAGCAGTAAGACCCTAGGAGGAGATCATCTGGAAGTTTTAACCTAATAATAATAACTTAGATCCTCCTAAACCTCAACTAAGTCAAAATGAGCATGATCTGAACGAGCGTCGAAAGTAGCGAAAGAGTCCAATGACATTTGATTTTCTTACCTTCACAGGCTTTTGGCAGCTTACATCAGTGCACGCCTACTCCATCACACCTTGATTCACACTATGCCATCAAAATCATACTGCCGTGAAATTTGTTCATAAACCTGGGTGAGTAGGCTTGTGCATTATAATGAAGACGTTTCTTCGACAGTGTTACGGCGCGACTGAACGATCATTACCTAAAGATGTGTCACATAGTAAAGTTCCATAACCAGTTACGTTTTGTTTGATTGGTGGTTTCTAAGTTTTCGAAGATCATTGGGCTTTTTTTTAAGTTGAGTATGTTTAAGAAGATTGATTTATTGGAAACTATTCAGAGAAGTTGGACGAGACGAGGTCTGTAAGTACATTGTTAATTAAGGAGTGTGTTGTAAATCCCAAGTGAACTGAGATATTTGATCCCGTTGTCGAGACTCTCTAATAAAATACTTGTCTACTGTGGATAAACGAAGTAAACTATCAGCTTTCCACAGAGCAGTGAAAATGCCGTACAGCAAAATACATAACTAGGAGTTCTTTTATGAGAGTGTCATATTCTTGTTCAGTGTCTTGCGGACGTCTCGGAAAGAGTCCCAAAGGTTCTTCGTTCTTAGTCGTTCATTGTTGTAAGACTCCTCGGATTGCCGGGTTGGATATGTCTACGGCGATAATAATGGGCGCTTTGATGTCCTGGTGTGATAATTTCCTTAATTGTGTAGAATGCACCTTTTGCGTCGTCACCGAAATTGATGATTTTCACATTTCCACGGAGTTGGTTTATTAAGAACCCTATGAAGGAAGCTCAGATCAGCATGGAATGTTGATAGGAACTTACCATTTCATCGAATCCACGTCATTGATCGACTGTGGTTGATTCTGAGTAATTCGGAATGGCTACTACTTTTCTTTTTGAAGGCACGTGTCTTGGACTTCAACGGTGTATGAGATACAGAAAGCCAATTTCGATCTGCCATTCCAAGATGTTTTCAGTAACACTGCAAATTGTGAGTCATTTGTTAACTGTGTCTATTTGATGGAAAAGAGATTCTTTGTTTGGACTTGCAGCTATATTCATTTGTATTCATGTATTCGAAACCTCTGGATATGTTATCAATGAATCTCTGGAAAGTTTGTTTAGCATTTCTTAAACCGGAAAGCGTGCGGAAAACCTCGTAGAGTCCGAAAAGAATGACGATCGCCGTTTAAAGAATGTCGCCTGTAGCCACAGAAATTCGGTTACATGCTTCAACCAGATACATTTTCGGAAAAAAGTGTACCTCTAAGAATAGCTGTCAGGTCATGGATCTGTAGTGGCATTGGACAATAGCCACACAATCCACAAAGCTGTGAACACGAGACTACTCAGAAAATAGATATTCAATATTTAACGCGGAAAAATACCTAACGATGGAGAAGGCGCGAAGAATGAATTGAATGGACTGGAGTTGATCGAGTGGCATGGCTCGGCCATGCAGGCGTGGTCTCTGCTAAATGTTACCTTGTATCTTTTATTCATATTAAATATATTGTTCTTTCTCTAGCCTAACCTTGTTCTACATCATGTATTGGTAATTGATACGATACAGTGAGTTGGTGTAGTCGATGGTGTGACTTCCACGTAAGATCTTATAGATTAGGCAGTTATATCATGACGAATCTACAATTTTGGGATTAGGTCTATTATTAGAGCAGTACTAATATAATGGTAGACCATAATTCTACATTGGTGAGCCCAACTAAAGAAACGCAACCTATTATTATTAATCCTTATTTCCACTTAAACTTTCTCGATCGATTTTATATTTATGTTAACACTGTATTCTAATAGTCCTCTGATTAATGCTCACATGCATTATCGTAATGTTATATTGATTAGTCCTCATGACAAACTAGCTCAATCGATAATAAAAACTGGTCGTCTATATAAACTAATTAGCTCTGATGGTTTGTTAACAAGCTGTAATAGCATTTACATGCTTCAGCGACATAGTCTTGTTTAAACATCAAGCTCTAGCAAATATGACCTGTAAATAGCGTAAATATACATTGACTAACAATGCGATCAAGGACTAAATAGTTATCTGGATCTAATTCACAGTGTCCCTTCACTTAACACCTCATCCTGTTTTAAACTATGCACTATCCTGTAATATCTTTTCTTCCGACCACTGCCTGCCTAATTTCATATTCTCGAGTTCCATTGCCAAACAACAAGGATGACACTTCTCCAAAAACATACGGTGAGTTCCAGCTATAAGTTTTCTGCAATCATAAGGTCATTTTTAGATGGTTCGTTCAATGACAACCACACAATTATCTGGGTTCATTCGATTGTTCTGATCCGAGCGAGTGGCAAAAACCTCAACAGCATCAAGCACCCTGGAATTAATTGCCATACTGCATGATTTATTCTGGATGCTTTTGGATCAATACTACTCACGAATGGCGTTATATATGTCGTCCACTGAATAATCTAATTTTCAAAAATAATCAAGGCGAGTTCAACTATTTTACTTAATGATTTTTTTGTACTTAACATGTATATGTTTTTCAGTTGCTTTTGCCATATATTTGTAAGTGTCACTAAGCTAAATGCAGTAACTTCTTATGGAATGTTTATAACGCGTCATATTCCTGCCTGAAGTTTCTTAACTTTGAATTTATTTATCTGGTCATGTTCATTATTTTTAAATTGTCATATACGTCAGCAACCTGCTTGTTAACCTGGCCCGCACATACACTATACCTTCATATCTTTTGAATTTAGAAATCATCTGAATCGCCTTAAACATTTATCAATAAACCCATCATAGTCGTTGTTGCTAATCGTATTTAGGTTTATGGATTGGTTTATCATATTAGCAGCCTGAAATGCGAACATAGTTTAGATAATAAGATTAAAAAATTAGGTACTATCAACTGCACTAGTAAAATAACTAAATCCCTAGGTAGCTGTTGGCTAAACAAACGTTTAAAATCAAAACTCCGTAGCCTACTAGAATTAACACTAAACGAATATTTCTGAATTGAAATTTATAATTAAATTAGGCGTCTCGGATTCTTTAACGTTATAAATTTCTGATAATTTCGAATCACCTAAAGCAACAATACCTATTTTTCCACTGACTAATCCTCAATCAACACTATAAGTAGTTAAATTTAAGTTTCAGGATATCGTCATAAAGCATTGTCATAACTTGACAATCACGTAATATGACTGATAAAATTAATAAAACTATTAACGAAATCGGTCAACAAATTGACTTATAATTACTATTAAAGGGTGTTGTTTTCTTGGTATCTTCATCCATCACAGATGATTACAGTATGTTTCTCTCTCAGTTGCTCATTCAGTAAATATCTCAAAACCTTGTCAGTCTAATTGATGGTTTAGCGACACAATCATCCATGCAAATAATCAGTATAAGCAGTCGAGCAAATCTCCTGCAAACTGAAAACATCAATGTCGAATTTACCCCAACACTGACTAAGGTTCAAGCCATTATCATAGACATGAGTTGGGAGTGTACTCCCCCTGGTTACAACTTATGTTCTCCCTGATAATCACATGAGCATCACTCACCATTAACCATCTTGTAAAAACTTATTTAGCCAAACACATCTTGCAATACCACATCACTTCGTAATATGACACAGGCCTAACTGATTTTAATAATTTATAACCACTATATCTCAATTAAATCGTATTCCGCCTTATTATAAACTGCATACTTGCAACTAACTTGTATGCCCAATCAGCCGGCAAGTATAAATACAAATAAATAGTCTGCCACAGATCAGAACATTGAGTCTAGAGCATGTCTCTTACGAATACACTCATGTTTAACAATTTGTTCCTAGCTATCTGTCCAAAATTCATATAATCATCACTCACGTATTTAAATTTTGTTTTGATGAACATTCATGTGTATTAGTAGTATTACTAAATTCTATCACGGTCAAGTAAAAATGAGGTTGATAAAATCTACCCGTAACTAAATAAACCGTATCAAACTAACTGGAACACTAGTTGGAATTCTTCTCCACGGTACACTTTTGTTCCTTCAGTTAGCCTACTAATACAGATGCAATTGGAATTCAACTCTTATGGACAACTTACCGGCATAATCGTTATCCGATTTCATAATTTAAACCAAAACTAATACCAATATTAACATTTCTACAATATTCATTATTTTAATATTTCTAAACACAAAATAATTACTGCCTATAAGTTAAGTTATTAACACGCATCGTTTTATTATTATTATTGTAATCCTATTTTTTATAGTTCAAATAATCTTCAACCAAATTTTCATTTTAAGCGTGTTAATCATGAAAGCAGATATTTTAAGATTATTACATGTATTTCCCGACCAGATGCTGCCGCCTTCTTTTTGATTTATCTTTCAGCTTATCAATACCCGGAGGATCTTTATTATCCTTGGTAACCTCCGGCGCACGACGATCCCATCCAATTTGGTATCGAACCAACATCACGTTGATTCTGGTGGGAGAGTAGTGTAGTGGCATTGGACAATAGCCACACAATCCACAAAGCTGTGAACACGAGACTACTCAGAAAATAGATATTCAATATTTAACGCGGAAAAATACCTAACGATGGAGAAGGCGCGAAGAATGAATT